TACTACTACTACTACTACTATTTACATGACGCCAGGACTGGACACAACCGACGCTGGTCCACCATTGCCGACTGGGTTGTTGCAAAAGTAAAGAGGAGTCACGCGGGAAACCCAGCTCCACTGTGCTGTGTTCAACTATGTTGAATGATGATGGAAGTTTCTGAGCATAAGCAGCATAGGCTAGCATCACAATCAGTACAAGAAGTAGAAGTGCAGGCAGTCGTTTATGGTATGCGATCATGGACCTGATCTTCGCTCGGAGACCACCTGTACCTGTGATCTCCAGATGGTTGACATGTGGTGCTGCTGCTCGTTTTGTCTTGCACGTGCCTCAACATTCGTCATCACTGCCAATTTGTGATCCAGGAACCAGCGTAATCAGTAGTTAGTGCAGATTCCGTCACTCAGGCTCGGGCTGGGACTACATGGCATCTTCGCACAATGCTGGAAGAAGCTCTTTGCCAAGGTCAAGGCCGAAATGCATTATTAGTGGGCTGCGGGCTGCGTGAGTGAGTGAGTCTGACAGATTCTGAACATGAGTGAGTCACAGTTTGCCTTTGTGCTGCCGACTGCCGACGCTCGAACCGTGATTGGTTGGTTGAGTTAGTGATGCCACCGGCGAAGCTCCTTCCTCATGAGCCATGAAACGACCAAGTGCTGCAAACGAAAGGGCTGCTGCGCCTGTTGATGGCTTTCCTGACAGGGATGCTGACAGCAGCAGCAGGAACGTAGTTTGCAGACTGGCGAGACCTCGTGGCCCGCCACCACCTCCGGGGGCACAGGTTGACTTCCGACGGAGGCGGAGAGGAAGACTGCTTGATGCAGCACAGGAACCTGGGACGGACTCTGATGTGCTTCTATCACCAGATTCTGATGCTGATGCCCCAGCAGCTCCGGCTCGACCNNNATGCCGATGCTGCTGCAAATGGTGCTCAGCAAAGTGCCACCCCGGCCCTTACCGACAGCTCCTACAACTCCGACGGCTCCGACTCCAGCGACAACACAGATCTGCCCAGCGAGGTCAGTTTGGTCCTCCAAGGTCCGCTACTTGAGCGGGCAAAGCAAAGGGTGGTTGCATTGCACAGGATGGAGCTTCATGCTGTCAATCCAGCCGCCAGACCCAAGTCACATGCGGCCAAATTGGGGTGGACAGGAAGATACCTGCGTGATCGGGATTGGGAAGACACGAAATGGTATGCGAATAATGTGCTTTCGGCGGAGAGGCTTCGCCTTTGGCAAGAATATGTCAATGAGCACGGCAGAGCACCACGAGACGGCCATGAGAGATGAGTGAGATTTTCGACCCGCAGCACAGCGGTGCCACGCGGCGGCGGTTTTTAAAAAGAGCGTGGGACAGAGTTTGAGTTGATTGCCCATGACATGGTGCTGCTCTGTTGTATCAGTTGGATTGTTGAAGCCAGTGGATCACTTAAACTTAGCCGTGGCCAGGCGGCGAGCTCTGTCGCTGCGGCCGCTGCGATCTCGGATGATGTTGGGACTGCCGGGGCTGCTGAAGACTACCATCGCACACAGCGTATTCGTGCTACTAAATGTGCTGCTATGCTGGAAGATGCGAGCACACTGAACAAGTTGCTGATTGCATCTGTGTTGCTATCGCCGGCGGAAAGGATTCAGCCGAGGACTTACGTGATCCGTGACTGCTGATTGTTGTTATGTCGAGTCACGTCACGTCCGTAAATCACTTGATAGTGTTAGCTGCTGATGCATGATGCACAGTTGCCCTGGGTTTCTGTCTCAGGTTTCGGATGTTCAAAGATTCATCAACACATGCTTGGTTGAGCCCGGATGCTTCGAAGCTTCCGGCAGTTTCGATGACATCGTCCTCATCTCCGGCTGTCAGGGCTCTGCGGGAATATGGGGCTATGGCTGTGGCTCCGCCACTGTTGTTGACAGGTCAGAAGCTGGTTCGGTGCGAATACAAACAATGCAGGCTGTAATTAATTATACTTGATACTTGATCCTGAGCTTGCGCCGTTGAGCCTGTGCCACTGCATCTGGAGAGGACTTGATGCTTCCGCAATGCAATTGGCGCAGTTCGGGCTGTTGTCGCTTACAGCCCACATCCATCATCGGCTGGTGGTTGCCTTCCAGGTCCCGTCTAGAATCTGTTACTAAATACAATAACAATTCACAACTCAGCAGCAGCAGCAGCAGCAGCAGCAGCAACACGCTGCATGAATTCGGTTACTTAATTTGTTTTGGTTGCTTCGGTGAGGCATGGCCATTCAAGCTGGCGAGTCTGTTGGACGATCAGTTGTCGAGACAGAACAAAGAAGACTTGGCTGCAGAATTCATGAATTCCTCGATGTGTTGTCTGGACAAACACTTCAGCCAACGCCTTCGCATGTACATGCAGGCCCGAGTGCAATGCAGCACAGCCCACATGTGGACTCGGACTCGGACTGACTGATGTTTTGCGATGGCGAGGCACACAACTTCGACGCCGATGCCTTGCTACCCGGAGGGCAACTGCATGGCGTGGTGATGTGCCTAATTCAAGTGAGTCATTAGCCAGTGCGTGGGTTCTCCGCTTGCTTTGCCACTGCCGCTGCCAGTCAAACGGCAGCAATGACAAGGTGAGGACGTCAGCGCTTCGCAAGATCATCAATGCAGAGATCGAGTGTAATTTCGCTCGGGCTGCTTGCCAGCGTGCGTTCCTTGGCCAGCTCAGCGTGTTGCCGTGGCTGCGTTTTGTGACAGTGCGGTCTCTGTCAGGTCACATCATTTTCAATTTTAGTTCAATCTGAATCTAAGGTGTACGCGTGGTCGCGGACACTCGATTGCAGCTATGGCCGCGTGGCCGAACATGGGCATTTGAGTCGAGCGAGTCGGGCTGCTGTTCATTAGGATTTTGCGGCTTTTGCTGTTCCTGTGGGGATTCAGGCTGGCAAGTTCATTTTGACCGAAATCCAGAAAGAGCATCAGCAACACTGTGTGGCGGAATGCCTGCGCAAGTACGCAGACGATGTTGATGCAACAGGACAAGCATCTCGTGATGTTAAGTTCGTGCCATGCAGTTTGTGATCGCGAATCGCATGTTCTTATAAGAAAGTGCGCTTGCTGTTTGCTGTGAGGTCTGCCTTCAATTTGTGACCAGAAACCCAAGCAGTATAATGGATTCACCTGGTATATGGCCACATGTATGCAGAACAAGGCCACTTGGCACTTGCAGGTTACAACTTGGGTTGTTTGAATGTGCAGGGCATGCACTCGAAATTGATTCAGCCAGACTCAAAATGTTGCTGGATTTGAGGCAAGATTGCCGGGTGAGACAGCCGAACAGGCCAGGAAGCGAATCTGGGCAGATGCGACTGCTCAGTGGCGCGCAGATGCAAATTTGAAGCAAGTTTGCTTCTCAGATTTCCAGTGAGTCAGGCCAGCTCAGTCTCAGTCTCGTCTAGTAAAACAAGTCAGATTCTCAGTCTCACTGAGTATCGCTAGTCACTCGTGACTCGTGACGTGCAGAGTTGTTGGCGTCAATCAGTCAGGCATTATGTTTGATCGCAGTCCAAGTTCAAGCTGTGAAGTGAAGTGTGAGGTTATGAAATTGGAGGCAGAGCGCGTGAACAAGCAGGAGCACGACAATGCTGCAATGGCCGCCGCCTCTGCCAATGCCAGCAGCGCAGATATTGTTCATCAAATGGACAGGCCAGACAGGCCTGTTGAACAGACTCCTGCGTTTGATCTTGCCGGCATCGCAGGCGAGCATTTTGCGATCTCCGAGGAGCGTGTAGACAAGGATCGATGTAACTACAGAGGCAACTGGGTTGTAGACAGACACAACAACTTCTGCGAGAAATATGGTCAGGTTATGATCTGTGAGAGTGCCGCAGGGGACGGTGCAGCAGACGTCGAACCAGATGACACATCATGCCAGGCAGTGTATTGTCCAGGCATTTGTTGCAAGCAGGTTGCACGTGTCAAGGAACGATATGATGCCCTGAAGCTTGAGTGCAATAGCTTGTTGCGACAGCTCAGATCTGTCAGGAGGGAGAAGGGATATGTCCCTTACCACGGCGTGTTGTTGGTGCTAGACGGTGTCGCCGGCAGCACCAAGATTCTCGAGTTGCATCTGCTGTGTCGGGTCTCGTTTTCTCCATTCGGTTTTACGGCGGTACAGATGGACCTGCAGCCGGGGTCACAGCTGCCGGTGCATGCGACCACCATGCTGTCAGAAGGCGTCGCTGTCATGAGAGACATGTCCCAGCTTTTGTATGATTTGGCCTCAAATCCATCTGTGACACTTGGGACTGCCCCCTACAAGGCAGTTTCTTTACAAACGATTGTGGTGGAGAACTCGGTGTCACGCTTGTCGGATGTATTTCGGGCTCGGGCTCCTGTTGGCTTGATGGGCGAGGAGGGTAGTGACACAGATGCTGAAGATGCAGCGATTTCCAAGGTGAGTGGGCTTTTGAAGCGCGTGTTCAGCACGAAAGCTAAAGCTAAAGCCCCCCCACGTGCCAAGAAAAAACAACGCACTTCGAGCACACCAGGCGAACGTGTTGTGACGACACCAGTGGCAGTGTGTGATCGAGTGGATGCTGAGATTGAGCAGAGCTGGTCGAAGGCGCTCGCCGATGATGCAGGTGCTGTGCCGGAGCCCACATCATCGGCCTCCTCCTCGTCGAGAGCGCCGAGACGGCGACAACATGAGGAGTCTCGTGCGCAACAGGCAGCACAGCAAGGTGCGGGGGCGGGGACATCAGGTGGTGCAGTCGGGGTGGTCGGTGCTGCTCCTGGCGACCCATACGTTCCTTGGAAAGACAGTGCTGGACACTGCTGGATTGTTGCAAAGTCCAACGTGCCACCTGTCACGGATGAGCTGAAGAAGTTATACTTGGGCTCCTGGGCTTTTCTGTTCTGTGAGCTGGTCCGGTGTTGCTTGTACTTTGCAGTTATTTGCAATCATATGAAATGTGATGATGCTGCAGGCAGAATTACAGAGGTGAGGCCGGGAACTTCATCACATGGAGTCAGCATACGATGCAGTTTCTCGGGCGCAAGAGCTGTGTGAGCGGTGATTCCGAAACTGCCGCCATAAGCCGGCTGAGGTCATCACTCGAAATGCTGTATGTTGGTTTCCGCCCAGAAGCTACCGGATCATTGCGAACCGTCTCTGCTTGCGTGGCTGGAAGCGGGTAGATGCATGCAACGTGATCGAAGCAAAGCAGCGGACCACAAAGCCATGTGCCTGTTCTGAGTAATATCATGCGTCACACCACGGTGCTTTGTGATCAATCAATCGATACATTCAGCTGAGGTTCCAAGCGTATATCTCCGGTGTCAGGGCTGACACGGACGGTGACTGAGGAGATTCCAGCCTACTTGCAAGCGGTAGTTGTGCAGCCGCCATTAGTTGTGTGGGGAAGTCTGACAGTGACTGTGTAGTGAGAGTGTGCTGGGCAACAATTGTTGAGCAGCATTTTCTGACAATGTTCGACAGTGATTGATGGGTCTCGACGCAAAAAAACCCAGAGTTGCTCAAGGGTCCCGCTGTACTATGGTGATGTGCTGTTTTGCTCAACTTGATACATTATTCATTCGGTCGTTTTGCATGACTTGAAACTTATGTGGCATGTGTGTGCGCAGCTAGTGCACGATCTCGAAACTTGACTGCACCAGCCCCCTCCACCCGTTGGATTTTGTTGCGATGCCGCCCAAATCCGTGTCGTCACATGTGACCTCTCGTGTGACAACAGCTCCGGATCCACCAGCAGACGTTGACCTACCAGCGAGCTACATCCCCAAGCAGTGCCGACGATGCGGAGTGTGGAGCACTGCCCCGGCTCGCTACGACCAGTCCCGTTCCCCGGAGGCAAGTTGGTCGTGCATTACAGCATGGGCACGAGGCCGTCTTCAGGATCCTGTTGGTCACCACTGTCTGTGCTGCAGGAAGGCTCGGGGATGTCCAAAGAGTTTAGGGCCTAAGGCGGCCTAAGTTTAGGGTAAG